CTTTGACGGAAAGGACATGGTATTGCGTGGAGATCGTACAATGAGTCGGTCGTCAGCAGGCGCTTATTTATTGTCTAGAATCATGTAGTCATTATGTAAGCTTCATTGTCGGGATTCTATAAAGGGATATACCTGATTATCGGGTTTCCCGGACGATCCCGTTGTTTTCTCTTCACGAGCTGTATCACAATCTCTCTGAACAGCAGATATCTATAATCGCTTCTCTACAGGCAAGCTAATTGTGTCTTTTCTCTTTGCCACACTCCGCCGTTCAAGGTACTGATGAGTTGGGCGTCGATAAGGAAGAAACAATGATCAGTCCAGACCATGTCATCACAAATACATCAGCAGGACTATGCCCAATGTGGCGGAATGGTTCCCAGACGCTGGCTGTCTAGATCCACCTGGTGCTCGAGGACTTCTCTAACAATGTGACGGATTCCAGTGACATCGTTAGATTTCGCTGCTCCGAACATTCCGAACAGAGACTCTCACAATTTATCCAATTTTGAAGAAAGCGTGAGGATACGAGTCTCTCCAAAACAGCACCAAAACATTTAAACTCCAAGTACGCTTTCGACATAGCCTATATCTACAAACTAGGTGAAGACGACTGGACAGCAGTAGCCGCCAATGCGCAGGGAAGCACAAGGTTCGAGGCTATGGACCATGGCGTCAAGGAGAATCCTTACCGCAACACCACCTCTTCTCTCTGATGCTGCTGGGAAATGTAAAAATTGCTGCTTATCATTTCTGCACAGAAATGCCAGATCTTCTTTTCCAGTCGCTTACTACTACTGCTAACCCCTCCACCTTTACTTACGCCATCCTCCAACAAACTCCGGAGGACCTTCTCCGACGCACCACGGCGACGGTTTCCATCCGGTACCAGACAGATGTTAAACGCTAGCAAAACGCCCTAAGCTTCTTATGTTGTGAACTAGTCAGGCATAGCGAAACTCACCAGAGGAGGCAGATTGTGGATATCAGTAGCGGACTCAACCGAGCGAGCATATTTATTGACTGTCTGAAATAGTAGTTTGTCTACGCTGAACCGAAATCAATTTTTTTTCATCGATGTAATCTCTTAAACAAAAATTCTATTTTCCGTGGTGGAGGAAGTAGAGTTGTGGAAATGGTGTCGGGCGTAGGCAGCGTGAAAATTTGATCTGGCTGTTGTCACCCACTGCTTTTTCGATTATTGCATGACTCAAAAAGCCAGCCTACACTGCTGCGGCCGATTCGTTTTTAGTAACAATCACTCTGATTTCAAGCCGTTTGCCTCTCTATAACTTCTATAACTTCGGTCTACTGAAAATGTTCGTCTGCGCTCATTAGCTTGAGAGGTGAACATTTATGTAACGAGCGGATCATTGGATTGTGGAAGAATTTCGCGAAGTATGCTCCCTTCTCTCAGCGGCCAGACGCAACCCTACACAGCGAACGGTTGAAACCGTTTCCGACCACTACATGTGGAACGCGTCATGCTTTGAACTTCCATAATGTAATCAATGGGAATGTGGGAGCGAGCTTCAGCCGCGAAACATTCTTTTCTTGCCGAACAATCCTACTATGGAACTAGGCACTCCGAGGGGGGAAAGCTTATTTGGTTGGGATGAAGATATGCTGTACGTTCACTTCCAAAGATCCCGATCCTTGCTTTCTTTACACTCCATCGTCCGCACGGCGTTCTGTGCTCACTGTGGCCTCACACATTCCAGCTTTTCACAAATGATAAGTGGCACACAAATTCCGATCCCCCTCCTTGTCAAGAGTCCATATCCTGGCTCGCACATTCCGATTTTTTAGTAACAGCTCACTTCCATCTGTCTTGTTACATGGTTTCGCAACAGAAGCATGTACATAAGCCTCAAGATGTCACGTCACTCTCCAGCGCTTGCCAACATGCTTGCGGGACCTTGGAATCAACGCAAGTGACACACATTCTGGGCAACGGGCGGCTCCAGTCCTAAGCGGCATGCAGCTACCATAATCTTCCAGTTCCAATTCCGCTCACTTTCGAGTAATGAAACTGGCACGCTTTTATGCTGCCTGACGGCACGCACAAGCTTCATGCTTTCAGCTTCCATTATGTACCGAAGATGGTGTTATATGCGAAGATTAATTTTATAGTTGAACGAATAGCGTATTTAGGTGCCATCTTTCATCTCTGCAAGTGTGACAGTGTGATACGATGCATCCTGCCGCAGTGCTGAACCACTCAACCAGTGGCTGCAGATTACATTGAAGTTGAAATATTTCCACAATTCTAGGTAAATTTGCCCGTATCTGAGGCTATGATCTTGCAAGAAACACCTTAACAGCTTCCACGCGGGATTCTCCATCTACATTCAGCAATGCGCCTAGAATAGCATCAGTGCCTGATGAGCAGTTCGCTGCTTTTCTTTCCCAACGTGGTTAGCTTATAGAGAACTAGCAAGCAATGTTCTGAATTCATCCAAGGGTCCCATGGAGGAATTCACAGTGAGTTGGTATGAATTCGCATCGTATCACGTCACACATATAACACAGAAACGCACACCCTATTCGAGGTGATTAGCGCTTTCGCCTGATTTCTATTTTAAAAGTTCCATGGTGTTATGGAGAGTTCTGTAGAAAATAAAAATAAAATCACCGGAGTAGCTGTGAATTGGTTTGACATTCCATACATGTCATCATGCACTTCATCGGCATACAGCTTTCTACCATGCTGCAAAGGACAGTAGTTTGACTGACCAGTCCAGTGATTGGAAGAGAACGAAGCAAGGGGGACTCTCTGAGGACCAACTATCCCGGATTTCGTCTTGAAAAAATTACTGAATAGAATATTTCTCGTTAGGCACATGTGTTTAATAATGCGGGCTTGCCAATGAGCACGAAAACACGCTTATGTTACCTCTTGCTTTGGTCATTCTGCAGATACACTACTATTCCTTATTCTAATCCTTATTACTCATATCTTTCTGCTCACTTTCTTGCCGCTTGCTCAGTTTTGCTCAACAGCTAAACCTATTGCCCAATGATTTCAGTACGGGTCCTGCAGAGTTTGAATTTAAAGAGAGAAGATGGTCGTCTTTCTGTACTTTCCAATAGAGATTAGGGCCAGTTTTCAAAAAGGCGTTTAATTCTACCACGTCATCACTTGAATTTAACTCTTTACTTGAAAAGAGCCAGCGACTGACGAGGATCCGGCGGGCTTTCCATGGACCACATGGCGCGCTCCGCGTCGTGCTTGATTGGAACGCCAGCCTCTGCCACGTTTTCCGGCATTCTTCCCCCTTTATGATCTCCACTTCGATAATTTCGATTTACCATCCCTGTATAGATTATTTGAGCCCTGCCTCAAACACCGTCGTCTTTCTCATTTCATGATCAGTGTCTCAGTGTAGGCTATAATAATTCGTAGGATTAGCAGATGTAATATTTAGTATGTCCTCTACGGTTGTTATGATATTTCTTTACTGTTGATTAGCCTAAGTGTTTAAACCCTACCAACCACCAACAGCAATCGCAGGGTCTGCCTTTTGAATACAATGCCTCAACGGTCAACGGTTGTTTGACACGTGTACAAGACACTCAAACTCCTCTTTTCGCAAAAATGAGAAACGCGCGGCTAGCAGCATCTCGTAAGCAAGTCGCCCTTTCTGAAAGCAGCATCCAAACCGACTGGAGCACTGCAAGTTCTTCACAAAAACCTAAAAAAGCTCTATCTGAGACGTTACATCAGCGGAGGCGTTTAGGCAAACATCCTCGCGTCTGAGGAGCGTCTGAAGGTTCGATTCATATTAGCGAAAAACCATAATGGTTTTTTACGATTTTAGAGAATCATACGCCATGACCTTCTTCGCTTCGAACGCAGATGCAGGGATAAATACTAGAGCTGCAGTTTAAATGCGTCGTCGCCGATCTATCTTTCCATCCCGTCCAGTCGATGGATCCGAGGCCAAATTCAATAGAAAACGAGTTGAACCCCACTGTTTTACTAGACAGCGATCCATTCCAGGATTTCGGTGAGCTTGACAAGGCAATCATCGAAGCATGGCTCCAAGTCGACAGAAGGCTTGTCGGTTACCACCGCCAACTGCGAGCATGAACAGTCAACAGAACAGAACATTTCTACCGTTCCGAAAACAATGAACGTCCGGTAAAATACGATATCGTCTTCAATTATTTCTGCTGCCACCATTCTTTGTTCTATGTTCTTTCGTTGCTTATGTTTCTGTTGCTGAATTTAGCTTTTCGATCAGAATAAGGGCTGCATTTTCTGATTGAGTTCCCCTTGCAGGCAGGATTGTTATGTCTCAGATATTATTTGTTTCTTTTGAAATTTGTTTGACAACATTGAAAACATTGAGGTTTTAGAAGATTTATGTGTAAGTAGCGTAAGAAAGCCATTTTGCTGAATAGTAAATCTGCAGCAACGTGCATGAAATCTACATTAAGGTGTTAGAGAGGGAGTGTCCTCAAAATTGGTTATGCCTTTGGGCGACTGCCCTTGGGCGGTTGGAGGAGAGAGATCGGAGGCGCTTCAGCTTTTTTTTGTGATGTTTGCTTTCTCTTATGCGCACGATGCCTGCGTCTATTCTTGAAGGGCAACGGTGTGGTAGCTGCGCTCATGTCCACCTCCGTGGACACCCCTCTCCCCCCATTCGAAGCTGAGATGTCTCTACGGCCATTCTTCTTCCTCCTATCCCTGGGATGTCATAGCAAAAAAACTCATGGAGTGACCCACTCAAGAACCATCCTCTACGCTGACAACATTGCCCTCATAGCAGATATTAGGAAAGAACACAAGGCAATGTACGGAAACGGCACGAACCAGCTGAAAACGGCTCTCTGTTGAAGAAAAAGACCAAGTTTCTGAGCTCCGAAGAGTACAACAAGCCTGCCGTAGACCTCTACGGAGAGACCTTAATAAGGGTCGAAGTCATCCAGTACGTGGCAAGGGATAACCGCTGGCGTTAACAAGGGCCAGATAGTGGAAGCCCAAATAAATGCGAAGGGCCAGATAGTGGAAGCCCAAATAAATGCGGTTCCGATGAATAGTAAAGAGTTCACTGCATGCCTCGCAAACGGCGATGCTCCGAAACGCTCATACCTAGGGTATACCTTGCACTCTTTGCATCATAAATCACCAGTCGCCTCGCCGGCTGACGCCGGCGCGGCTCCTTCTGATACGGCCCGGCTGCGCCGGGCGGGCGCGGCTTCGCCGCGCGTACCTTCTCTCACATATTTCTAGACTCAACTGATATCCGCCTTTTGTTCTGTACTCCACTTTTCTCCGGTGTGAAGTACTCTTGAGCTATTTTACAGATTCTTCGTCTGACTCCGCCCACCTCAGAGCAGACCCCGCCCACAATTTTTGTGCCCCACACTCTTCACCGGCGACCCTCTGCTGACCTTAATCCACTTTTTTCCGGTGTCTGAAGTGTTCTGGAACCGTTCTGCAGAATTTTTGTCTGGCTCCGCCCACCTCGAAACAGGCTCCGCCCCCAATTTTTGTGCCCCACAATCCTCACCGGCGACCCTCTGCTGACCTTGAATCCACGTTTTTTCCGGTCTGGGACAGTTTTAGAGAATTTTCGTCTGGCTCCGCCCACCTCGGGCTGGCCCCGCCCACAATATGTATACCCCACATTTCTCAATCGGCGACCCTTCGGCCTCGCAATGCTCTGGAACGTTTTCAGACCTTTTGTCTGGCTCCGCCCACCTCGAGCAGGCTCCGCCCACAACGTTTTTGCCCCACAGGTCCTCACCGGCGACCCTCTGCTGACCTTAATCCACGTTTTTTCAGGTCTTTGAAGTGCTCTGGGAGAGTTTTGGAGAATTTTTGTCTGGCTCCGCCCACCTCGGGCTGGCCCCGCCCACAACATGTATACGCCCCATTTCTCATCGGCACGCCTCTGGACTGAACCTTAATTCCATTTTTTCGCCGGTGTTGAGTGCTCTGAAAACTAGTTTTGCAGATTGTGTCGTTCTAACTACCGCCAACACGCGGAGGCAGGCTCGCGCCCACAATGTTGTGGCCCGCACCCTCGCCCACCGGCGAACCTTTGCCGGACCTTGATCGCTACGGTTTTCCCGGTCCTTTGCTGTGCTCTGGACACCGACTACATATCCTTTAAAATGAGTAATCTCGCGGTTTAGCTCCAAGCGTCCGCCCAACTGTGGGCGGATCTCAATCACCATGTTGAGCGTGCGCAGGATACTCCGCCAGATATTTCATTCTGGCATTGAGCTTTTGGCGGCTTCTGGAGGAACACTCGCGAACCGGTTACTGAGTTTTATGCGAAGCACCGCCCACCTTGAGTACGCCCCGCCCATTTTGGATGTGTCTGCCACAGTTAGTCTGGCGACTCCTTACTAACCTTATTCCCTTTTTCCCCATCTTAGGCTGCTCCGGAAGCGAATTATGAACATTTTTCTGTGGAACCCCAAAATTTCAGCGAGTGCCCCGCCCTGTGGGCGGGGCTTCGCATAGGTCAAGTGTGCTTTTTATTTCTTGTCCCATGCTCTACCCATCCCCACCTTGACCCGACCTCTCCAAGTCGTTCTTCAGGTCGAACCGAATTTCCGGACAGACAAACAAACTTACAAACAAACAAACAAACAAACAAACAAACAAACAGACGAAGCGAATTATATATTGGGCATAGAAGTCAGGGGGGGGGTAAAAAAAGTCACTTCTCTTCCTTGACTTTCGAGGTGCTATAAGTTACACTTTACTGAATGCTTATCGGAAACTTCTACCACATATCAAAGGGCATATTACATACTAACATGTCCTGCCACCACAGCCCTCTGAGGACGAGGGCCAATCCATTCGAAGATTCTGGCAGCGCGACGTTTGCGATGGCGGTGCTGGGAGAAGTCGGAGGCGACAGATAGTCCAGCTTTCGTCGGCCGACCGTACACACACCCTGGTTGAACTCCGCCCGAACCGGGTAATTAAGGGGGTTTGGGTCAAATGACCTACTTAGGTATTCCATCCCTTTCGGGTACTCAACGCCCTTCCATTCCAGGTAGGCGTGCGTTTCTTGAACGCCTTTCGAGTTCCATGGTGTTGGCCACCCTTCAATTGCTGGTAGCGAGTACATAAAGTATATCCAGGAAGGTAGCGGGCGGAACGACATGGCGGCGAGGACTAGTCGCTTGCTCGAGGCTGCGTCGATGGGTAACCGCCAGCCCTCACCTTCGAGTACGGGGTCGCACGACGCTGGAATATGTGGTCTTGTCCACTTCCAGGTACGTCGATCCATCACATCAAGCCGCGCGTCGTGCGGACTGCGGGTGAAGAGATTTCTACGTGGCTCCAGTAGCTATCCATGGGTGACTCCATACAAAAATTTGCCTGTGGTTGAGTGACATTGAATTCCAAAGGTCTTCGTCCTCAGTCACTGGGTGCGACTGGAGATGACTTCAATATTTTTGGCTGTACATGAAGCGTGACGGGGAGGAGAGTCCATCTCCTGGCTTAGGTTGAGGAACATCGTTTGGGGTATCTTCAGCGCGCTGTAATTCGTAATCCAGAACGAGTCGCTCTGTTCTGGGCTGCAAAAGGAGTCTGCTGATATGTTGACCTCGGTCGGAGTGGCTTTTTTTGCCCGACTCCCCCCCCCTCTCACATAGGGATATGAGACTTGCGTGAGTTGCTCTTGACACTCCAGGGTC